GTCAGTTCTGAACCACTGGGTCACCAGGGAAGTTCCTCAAAATGCCAAGTGTTTATCCACGTCTAGTGTTTTTTAATCTGTCCGCACTCTCCCACCCCCGACCCCTGACTCTATCTCTGCACAATTGAGCCCAAGGGGAGGACTTTTCACTGATCCGTGTTACACTTCTTCTTGCAGATTCCTACACATTGTTCTGAAGATTAAGTGGGTTTTGAATCCTGGTTATTTCAGCCTCTATATTTGCTCTCTCTCCCAGCTTTGTGTGATCCTTGCAGTAAATGCATCCCAAATATTAACCAACTGTTACATCTACTGGGGACAGGGTCAAGGCCCTTGGACGAGCTTCTTCAGGCTAGGATCGCTAAACATAAGGATGCCTCTTCTGGCAAAGGTATTGGTACTACCCCTCCTTTTTCAGAATTCTCCAGAGAAATGGAACAAATAGGACGTGCATTTATATAAAAGGAGATTATTTCAAGGAATTGACTTATGTAATTGTGGAGGCTTGATGAGTCCAAAATCTGATGGGGAGGCCAACAGGCTGGAGATTCAGACAAAAGAGTCCCACCTTGCGGACTTCCCAGATGGTCCAGTGGCTAAGACTCTGCGCTCGCAATGCAGTGGGTCCAGGTTCAATCCCCGGTCAGGAAACTAGATCTCACATGCTTCAGCTGAAAGATCTCAAGTACTGCAATGAAAATTGAAGATCCTGTGTGCCATAACTAAACTGGTACAGCCAACTAAGTAAATAAATAAACATTTTTTTTTTAGAAAGTTCCACCTTGAGCCTAAAGCCAGTCTGCTATAGAAGAGCCAAAGTTGCTGACGAAGTCCAAAGGCCATCTTCTTAAGAAGTCACTCTTGCTTTTGTTTTATTTGAGCTTTAAACTGATTGGACAAGGCCCACCCACATTATGGACGGCAATCTGCTTTACTCAAAGTCCACTGGCTTAAACGTCCATCTCATCCAAACAGAACCTCACGGAAACATCCAGAGTAATATTTGACTGACTATCTGGGCACTGTGGTCCTGACAAGCTGACATGTAGAGTTCACCACCACCCGCCTTGCTTCCACAGCCAGGCCCCCCGACAGCAGTCACTCTGACTTCTGTCCTCTGATCAGACCTTGAGCCCCACAGGGACTCATTGATCTTTGGACTCTCAGTACCTGGCACACAGCCAGTGCTCAACTGATGATAACAATAGCCAGCATTTATTGAGCTCTTACTGTGTACCCATGTACAGCCCTAAGTGTTTTATGGGCATTAACTCATTTAACCTGCATGCAGATGGTCCAAATACCAGAAGTCCCGAGAGGTTAGATAATTTGCTCAGTGTCACGCTGCTAGTTAGTGCCAAGTGAAGTGTCCGATTCTTTGTGACCCCATGGGCTGTAGCCCACCAGGCTCCTCTGTCCATGGAATTTTCCAGGCAAGAATAATGGAGTGGATTGCCGTTTCCTACTCCAGGGAGGTCTTCCCAACCCAGGGATTTAACCCACATCTCTTGTATCTACTGCACTGGTGGGCAGATTCTTTACCAACAGCGTCACCTGGGAAGCTAGTTAGTGGTAGAGCCCGAATTCTAGCCCTACAGTTATAACTCAAGAGTTCACACTCAACCCCAGTGGATGTGTCCAGGGCCAAAACGGCATATGGTTGTGAGGGGAAAGCACAGGCTTGAGAATCAGACAGATGGGGCTACATAAGCCAGCTCTTCTGTTGCTTGTTTGCTATCTCCCTGAGCCTTGGTTTGCTCTCTGTACAGCACAGATAATGATAACTCTGGCCTCACAGGGTGGTTGAGACCTGACTCAGTGTCCAGGACTGTGGCATTCAAAACCAGGCGGACTATTGGGACTTCCCTGGTGGCCCAGGGAGGCTAAGCTTGGCTAAATTGGCTAAAACTCTCCCAGTGCAGGCAGCCTGGGTTTTATCCCTGATCAGGAAACTAATCCATGTCCCACAATAAGGAGTTTGTATGCCACAACTAAAGATTACACATGCCACAACTTAAAAGATCCCACATGCTGCAACTAAGACCCAGCACAGCCGAATAAATAAACATTTAAAACAAAACAGAAGCAGGGAGAATGCTGAATGAGCCTGGGCCATGGTTTACTCATGAGGAATTTTCATTGAGCACCTGCTATGTTCCAGATGCTTTAAATACATTTTTGTATTTAATCTTCGCATCAACTCTGGGAGGAGTCTGTGTCATTATCCCCCTTCTTGCAGATGAGGAAATGGAGTTCAGAGCACTCATGCGTCACATAACAGACTAGGATTTGTCCCATTGTCCTTAGATATTACAAAGCCCATGCTCTTCCCCAGGGTCCCCTGCAGTCTGCTCCCAGGGTCACAAAGAATCTCAGGGATCATAAACTCAAGGGACTAAGGCTCAGAATGGTTAAGTAACTTGCACAGTCGTAAGTGCCTGAAGCTGACTGGTGTGATATGCCTAGGAGGTATGGGGACTGGTGACTGGAGCTCATATGCCCTGACTAAAGTTGGCAGCCACTACTCATCTCCTATGACCTTTCCCAGGCAGAAATATACCAGCTCTACTGACCCTGAAGAGAGTAAGGAATTGGGATTTTCTATGCAATTCCCTTATTTTTAAATGTTGACAACTAGTTTAAAAACAAACCACTGTGCAACTATCCAGACCACAAATCAAACCTGAGGGCCCGATCTGGCCCCTGGGCCACTATGTGGCAACCTCCGAACCTCCCCCGGCTATTGGTTAATGTTTGTACCCTGGACAGCAGTTGGATCCCTCACGGGGCTCATGGTTTATCTGGGGACCAAAGTGCACGAGCAGATTAGAGAGCCAGACAGCCTGTTCACCACTGCAGTGTCCCATAACCCATCCTGGGTCCGCCCCCTCAGCTTCCTCAGATGCCAAACTCAAACACAGGAAGGGCTGGCTTGTGGTTGGAGGAGGAGGGCAGTGCCTTGGTTACATGCCCCTGGCAAGGAGCAGATGCAAGCACTCCTCTGGGAGTCTTAGGACAGTGCATTTACCTCCTTCCCCAGGGTCCCCTGCATTCTGCTCCCAGGGGCAAGGGCAGAGAATCCAGACCTGGAGAATATCAGACGGGAGGGGACCTTCAAGGTCATCCAGGACAACCCCAATCAAACCACTAACATCAAAGCATGCAGGCGTGCTAAGTTGCTTCAGTCATGTCCGACTCTTTGTGACCCCATGGACTGTAGCCCGCCAGGCTCTTCTGTCCAGGGATTCTCCAGGCAAGAATACTGGAGTGGGTTACCATGCCCTTCTCCAACATCAAAGCAGCAGTGCACGTTTTGATTGCTTTACCTTCTTCATCTGCCAACAACTTGGTGAGGCAGGAACTACTTATCCCCATTCTGCAGCTGGGGAGACTGAGACTCAGAACAGTGAAGTGAGTTACACAGCAATTAAATGGCAAAGCCAGGATAAACATCTAGTCGGTGTGCCAAGAATCAGTATTGCTAACATCAGCCTACACGGCCTCCCCGAGCCACAGTACTGCTGGCTGCTCAACTCTTTCCCATTCCTACCAAGTTATCCTTGAGCCTCTGCTTACACGTCCAGTGACGGGTGCTCACTCCCTGTCTGTGTTTTTAACCACAGCTATGCTCACCCAGCACCAACTAGGCCCTGGACCTTGCACTAGGCATTTAAAAAATGTTTCATATTGTTCTTTCCTTGCAACAGTCCTGTGTACCCCACATTATACCCATTTCACAGATGAGTGAACCAAGGCTTGCCATGATGAAGAAACTTGTCCAAGGTTACAAACATACACCCAATGGGAACTCTGTGGTGACCTAGATGGGTGGGATGGGAGCGCGGTGGGAGGGAGATCCCACAGTGAGGGGATATATGTTTGTATGTAACTAATTCACCTTGTGGTACAGTAGAGGCTGGCACATCCTTGTAGAGCAACTATGCTCTATTTTTTAAAAATATCTAGTTAGGCGCAGACTGGGATTTAAATTCAGGTCTGTTCTTTTTTTTCTAGCTCAGACTGAAAGCTTCTTTTGGTTAGGGGGGAGAAATATCTGTCCCCTTGAAGTAGCAGCCCTTATTCCTAGTTCTCCCAGTCCTTCTCCCCAGATGCCCTCTCCAGATAGTTGAAGGAAAATACATGTACCCCTTGAGTCTTTTTTAGACCAGAGTCAATATTCTGGTTCCTTCAACTGTTCCCCCATATAATGTGGTTTTTTGAGATCCTTCTTTCAGCTATTATTTTGTGAATGAGTTATACTTTTTCCGTGTCATTTTCAAAGTTCTGATTCCAAATGGGACCTCAGACATGGGCAGAATGCCTTTCGCCTCTTTCATTGTATACCGTTGTTGTTTACTTGCTAAGTCCTATCTGACTCTTTCATGTCCAACTCTTTCATGACCCCATAAATGGAGTGGGTTGCCATTTCCTCCTCCAGGGGATCGTCCCGACCCAGGCATCAAACCTGCGTCTCCTGTGGCTCCTGCATTGGCAGGTGGGTTCTTTACCATTGCGCCACCAGGGAAGCCCCACATGGTATCTTCAGTGTTTCTGTGAATGCAGCCACAAACCCAGTAACGCATCTATGAATGAAGCACTGACCAGTGCGCTTGTGATAGAGAGGGAACAAGCCAGCAACTTCCCTGACTTCCTGGAATTTACTTTCTTCCCACTGAGCTAAGGAAGGAGGCAGAGTCACAGGTCACTTAGTGAACTTCAGACATAACCCTAGAACATCAGAGCTGGTAGGGCCCAGTCTCTTCAGGCCCGTTTTTATAAATGAGAATCCTGAACCCAGAGAGGGGAAGTGACAGGCCCAAGAATCCACGGAATTGAGACGGAATCAAGGCAAGTGAGTCTGCCTTTCTCTGAATTTCAGGTGCAGGTGAGCCCTGGGGTCTTAGAGGGGAATGTAGAGACTGAGATGAAAATGCTTTTTACCCTGGAGAATTTGTTTAATGCACTTCCGTCCTCTGAGCAGAAAGCCCTCTATTCCAGGTATGACCACCAGGTGGCGGAAGGGCACCAGAGAAAAGCACAGAAATCGGCGGCGGGTGGGGGCCTTCCTCATTCAGAGCAATTCTCTTTGGCAAGTGGGAATGAGATGGGAAGACTGCGTGCTCTGGGACAGCATCGGGCAACTGTGTACATTATGAACATACACAGGGGTGAATTCTGCCTCCACCAAGGAGACCAGGTAAGGGAATTGTTAAAAGCTTTGGCACAGGCATCATGGAGACTTGGAAGGAAATCTAGCTTCCCTTCACTGCTTTATCATGTCACCTCCCTGACAGTTAGCCTCGGACACAGAGAATGGATGCAGGATAATGTCCTCGTTTTCTAGGGTTCTACACAGAGCCTGAGTTGCTGGTGCTGTCTTCCCGACTGTTCCCTTTTCCGGGTCGATGGTTAGCAGTTCCTCCTGGTAAAGATGTTTCGGTCAGAGGGCAGGGAGAGGGCGAGACTGACAGACTGACAGATACCCAGCTTAGGCTGGCAGCTCGTTCACCTCATGTCACACAGGGAACCCCAGGGCTGGAAACCATGAATATTTGGGTCCATGGGGGCCAAGGATGCCTGAGAGCAAAGAGTGGGTTGGAGAGGTAGGCTGGACCTTGAGGGTCACAGCAAATAACTGACTTCAAACTTTATCCTGGGAGCAACAAGGAGCTATGGAAGGTTATTTAGCAGAGGAATAACTTGGTTAGATAAGTGTTGAAAACCATCACCTGAGCTGTATGTGAAAGGAGGAAGGGAGGTGGTGGAGCCTGGAAACTGAAAAAGAGGCCAACCAGGAGGCTGAGAAGATGAGACTGGACTTGGTGATGAAGTCGGTGGCTGGTTTCCCACCCACTCAGAGCTTCCGACCAGCTTGAGTCACTCCACTGACACTGTGTGTCTTACCCAAGAGATGGTTCTCACAGGGGAAGGGACTGCCCAGACAGGAGGAATAAGTTGGTCCCTGCAGCATATGTTTCCTAGAAGATCCTTGAGAAAAACAAACAGCTTAGGTTCATGAGAGAGAGGAGATCCTGGCCCAGGGTGGAAGGGAGATGCCGTGTTGCCTAGAGGTTAGAAATGCATGCTAGTGTCAGACACATCTCTTTCATGTCCCAGCCTTGCCACTTCTTAGCTGTGTGACCCTAGACAGATCACTTTGCTTCTCTGATCTTCAGTTTGAAAAGAAAGTGAAAAGTGTGTGAAGTCACTCAGTCGTATCTGACTCTTTGCAACTCCATGGACTGTAGGCTCCTCCGTCCATGGGAATTTCCAGGCAAGAATACTGGAGTGGGTTACCATTTCCTTCTCCAGGAGATCTTCCCAACCCAAGAATTAAACCCGGGTCTCCCGCTTTGTAGGCAGACGCCTGCCATCTGAGCCACCAGGGAAGTCCTTCGGTTTACTCATCCATAAAATGTGATTGCAGATATGGCTTGCCCTTTGAAGCTGTGGTGGCGGTTAGGCAAGATAATATGTGAAGCACCCAACAAGTGGAAACCCAAGGGGGAGATTTTAGTTCTCATTTCCCCTCAAAGACAGTCTTTTGCTGTAGTATAGTAGTTATTCTGGGCTTTCTAGGTGACCCAGTGGTAAAGAATCCACCTGCAATGCAGGAGACGTGAGTTCGATCCCTGGTTTGGGAAGATCCCCTGGAGGAGGGCATGGCAACTCACTCCGGTATTCTTGCCTGGAGAATTCCCATGGACAGAGGAGTCTGGCGGGCTACAGTCCATGGGGCCCCAAAGAGTCGGACACGACTGAGCGACTGAGCACACAGTGGTCATTCTGGCTGTGCAGTACCTCACTGGGGAGAGGGGGCTCCAAAAACAGACCGGCTTGTGCTGCACAACATACTGAATCAGGCCAAGGGAATTCCAGCCAGAAGCAAGAAAGTAATGCTTTGGTCAGCCCCAGGAACACATCCCGGGGCAAATGGACCAATTCTGTTTCAATTTTTTAAAATTTTATATTTATTTATTTTCGTTGCATGGCATGTGGGATCTTAGTTCCCTGGCCAGGGATGGAACCTGAGCCCCCTATAGTGAAAACTCAGAGTCTTACCTGTTCCCATTTTGGAAGCATTAAAAATGATTCTCAGGCTTCCCTCGTGGTCCAATGTTTGAGAAGCGCCTTGAAATGCAAGGGACACCTGTTTCACCCCTGGTCCGGGAAGATCCCACATGCTGCGGAGCAACTACCCATGTGTCACAACTACTGAGCCAGTGCTGTGGAGCCCGAGAGCCAAAACTCCTGAGCCCACACGCTGCAGCTACTGAAGCCTGTGTGCCTAGAGCCTGTGCTCCGCTACAAGAAAAGCCATTGCAAAGATAGCAACAAAAAGTAGCCCTTACTCCCCGCAGTCTGAGTGCAGCAACAAAGATCTCCCATAGCCAATAAATAAATAAATCTTTTAAAAAAAAGATTCTCCTTACTCCAGGGGTCTCAGGTGAGATTCCCTATTTTCAATTCGGCAGTTTCTTCCCTATTTTGTGAGTGTCAGTGTAGCACAGTCTTCCCATAGTTCCAGTCATTGTGACAATGGTTTTGTATCCATCCTTTCCCATAGTCTTTGTAGCAACTCTCTTGGGTAAATACTATTTCTTATTGTCCCCCCTCTATGGATGAAGAACTGAGGCTTGAAAAGGTTGACAAACGAACCTGAGTCTGTCTGACATCAGCCCCTTTGATCGTCGCCACAACACTTACCTGCCTTGGGGGCGGGTCATCAGTTAGGCACCTAAGGCACCCCAACAATCTGCCCCCCAAATTACCTACTGAATAGAATGCTAAGGCTTGTCTGGACCAAAAGCCAATAAGACAAATGACTGTGTGATACAGGGTCCAGCAGTTGTTATAAATCCGATTAAGGCATAGTCCGTTGTATTCGTTGGGGTCCCTTATAGAATACATTCCTCTGAGAGTTTAGTAAAGGGAAAAAAATTGTCTTTTGCAAATCACCAACCTGATTCTTCCAATCATACTGTGGCAATAGCTAATTCTTATATAGAATTCACCCCATGTGATAGGCCTGTTATAAGATCTGAATATGCCTTGGCTCATTTAATCCTTTTAATGATCATAAGAGCACATCATCCCCATTTTTTAGATTAAAAAAAAAAAAAAGAAGCACAGAGAATTTAAGTAACTGCCTAAGTAAGTGGTAGAGCTGGGCTTCAAAGCAACACAATCTGGTTCTGGGGTTTGTGTGGCTAATCAAACATTTACTGCTTCCTATATAATTTGTAACATCCTCTTTCCCTCTTTGCTTTGACTGCCAGGAAACTCAGAGCTATGGGTTTTTTTGCTCTGTCACAGTTGTTATCCTTAGAAAACTTGACCTAGCATTTCTGCTATAATTAGTCAATTTTTCATTTTTCTTTCCTTCTTCTCCACTGGCCTTTGGCCCAGGCTTTCATTACTCCTTGATTCTTGCTCTTTAATTAACCATCAAATAGGCTTGTGGCTACAATGGAAACCACCTCAAAACCCTTTTGGGAATAGAAAGGATGAAGTGAATCAGTGAGATGAACAGAGACTATTTCTTGCCCAGCTGAACCAGCTGGACACAGTCAGTACCAAATGGACATCTTTAAGCAGCTTTTCTATGACCAACACCTTGCTTTGTGAAGTGGAGGTCATGACAATGAACCCAAGTTGGTCCCAGTGTTTGTTAAAGTGATGCTAACTGCTGAAATAGAGAAATCCTGAGAGATCAATGTCTGAACACTAATTCGAAGTCGGTTCAATGTGGCACCATTCAGTCAGGTGTCTTGAGTGAAACCCAGGCTGACCGAGGTTCTCCTGTGTTTAACACGTGGTTTCCCAAGTTCACCTGTGTTGGCATACAGTTGGCGTGTGCGTGTGCTAAGTCACTTCAGTCGTGTCCAACTCTTTGAGACGCTATGGACTGTAGCCCACCAGGCTCCTCTGTCCATGGGATTCTCCAGGCAAGAATACTGGAGTGGGTTGCCACACCCTCCTCCAGGGGATCTTCCTGACTCAGGGATCGAACCTGTGTCTCCTGCATTGGCAGGCAGTTTCTTTACCAGTAGTGCCACCTGGGAAGCCCATACAGTTGGCAGACAGAGAGAAAAGACAGAGCTTTGAGAAAACATACATAGTTTTTAACTTGGATTTGGCCTGGACGTGGCACACATCATCTCTTCCCATAGCCCATTGTCACATACTTAGTTGCAAGGGGTGCTGGAAAATGTAATCTGGGCTGCTTTTCTCTGAAACAACTCAACACAATGGAAGAGGAATGTCTTTGGTGAAGAGCTGGTGTTGTTTCAGTTCACAAAGACTTAAAATTATTAAACCTTTATAAAATGGCTAAGAATACCATGCGGTATATACTCTGGTCGTGAGAAGGGAAATGGTCTTCCTCTGTTTACGAGGAACCATGAGCCAAATGAAGTATTTACATTTTAGACCAAACATATTTGTTCAACAGAGGAAAGGATTATGGTGGGAAAGAGAGAGAGTTTGTCATGGTAGGAAGTATTGAAGCAGAGGTTGAATTTTCCCTGTGATGAAGGCTCTAGAAGGAGTCAGATAAGATGCCTCCTACTAGTCTTGCTAACTTTGAGCTTCTCTGCTAGGTTCCAGGAGGCTTCCCTGGTGGTGCAGAGGTAAAGAATCCACCTGCCAATGCAGGATATGCAAGAGGTGCAGGTTTGATCCCTGGGTAGGGAAGATGGCAACCCATTCCAGTATCCTTGCCTGGAAAAATCCCAGGGACAGAAGAATCTGGCAGACTACAGCCCGTGGGGTTGCAGAGTCCAACATGATTGAGCATGTGCGCAACGCGCTAGGCTCCAGGGTCCCCTCCGAGCACTTATTTTGTGTCAAGTTCCAAGTGGCATTTGGGGGACCCAGAAACAAAGGAAACAGGGTTCTAACTCTCAGGTTACTCACTGTAATGAGTTGAAATAGGACATCTGGGAAGCAGGACAGTGGGATGGCCTGAGCTCCAGAAACAGGAGACTGGCATTTAACTCCTAGCTGTGTGACATTGCAGAAACCACTTGACCTCTCTGGTTCTCAGTTTCCTCATTTATAACTTAGGGACAATAGTTATCTTCATAGATTCTGGGGGCTCAGAGACAGTTACTTTAGCGCATTTGTAGCACAGCACATGGTAGGTAGTGAGCACTTTTTTTTTATCAGTAGCAATGTTTTTATGTCACTTCACTTTTTCAGCCTTCGGTTTCTCATCCGTATAATGAAATTAACTAACTTCCATCACGGGATTGGAATCTCGCTGGGCTGTGGGGTCTGGGCTCTGCCGTTTCTTCTTGCATTGTACTCATTATGTCAGGACGAGAAGATTATGGACCACGACCGGCATCGTCCTGGGACACAGCAGGAACCTGAGCGAACCAGGACGCGATTTCCTGGCTGCGCTCCCGGGAAGGAGGTTTGTGCTGGGTCCCATCCCCCGGCCGGTCCAGCTCAGGAAACGCGGAGAGAAAGCCAGGAACCAGGCCTGCCGGGCCCCGCGGCCCCTCCGCGCCTCCCCCCTCGGCTGCCCCGGACTGCAGGAAGCCGGCCGGCGGGAACGCCCTGCTCGGCGGGTGGGAACGGCCTCGCCGGCTTCCCAGGCCCGCGGCGGCGCGGAGCTGTCACTGCGGCAGGCACGCCGCCTCCCCCGCCGCCCGCGCTCTCGCTGCAGTCGGTCCATCAGGACCACAGCGAAGCGCCGCAGCCCCGGTCCCGGCGCCCGAGCCGAGCGGCCAGAGTCCCGAGGGCGCCAGCGCCGACCCGGCACGCAGCCCACGTTGCGGGGGGCCGGACTGGGAAGGGAGAGGTGGCCGAGCCTTTCTTTGCGGAGGTGAGACGCTAAGGCCCGAGGGTTTGTAGGTGAGTGGTCCAAGGTCATGGCTAGTAAACTGCAGGGCCGGAATTCGACCCATAGGCTGCTCTAAAGTTTGTGTCTTGAATCTGTGGACCTTGTCCCGGTTCGTGAGGGGCTCGGGAGGGTCCAGGTTCTTATGGAGGCCCGAGAACAGGCCTGATTCTGGGGGTAATTGATGACCTCCTAGAGGTCTGTGAACGCCTGGATTTTGTGCAAAACCTGTTGTAGTTTGCATTTTTTTCCCCCTCAAAGTGTCAGTGACTCCGAAACGGTCTTAGCCTTCCAAGGCGCAGGGGTTGATGCCGGCTTTTTGAGGGCCTGAGCCTCCTCTATAGTCTTTATAGCATCTTAAGAATGTCTCTGTGGGGGAGGGACTTGGGGTCTCTACATGGTCCCAGGATCTTTCTCCTGGATCTTGAGAATCTTTTTATGGAGTTCTGGGGTCTGTCCCTGAATCTGAGGTCCCCATGGGGCCCTGGTGTCTTGTCTGAGGTTCTGAGAATCTCACTGTAAGGTTCCCATGGTGTGAGTTCTAAACCTGGGCCTCACGATGCCTATGAACCCCCTGAAATTGCAGGCAAGATTCTGTGGGTCTGTGTCCATGTAGTTCCTAGGAGAGGTTTCATGGATTTCACCAGATTCTCAAAGAGGGCTCTGACCCCTCAATCTGGGGAAAATATTGCTTTGGAGTTAGACAGTTTTGTTAGACAGGCCTTGCTCCCTCTCCCTGTTAAGAGTTAGGAAAAAAACGGAGAGAGGAGATAAAAGGCAGTGGTGTTGTCTAGTAGAGAAATATGTGTTTGGGAGTCGGGGCTTCTAGGTTAAAATCCCAGCTTTACCACTTACCAGCGATGTGACCTTGAGCAGATTTCTTAACCTCTCTGAGCCTCAAGGCCACCTCCTCTAGGAAGCCTTCCCTGTGTCCGGAATTCAATTAGGTACCCACTGCACATTCCCCAAGCTCTTATTGCACCTGGCCTGATACTTTGCGGGATTTAATCCAGTTGTTATGAAATAATTAATTGTGCTTAATATTTTCTTGTCCCTCCACCCACCAGTCTTTTTTGTATGTTTTGGTTTTTGAAACTTTTTTTTTTTTGAGCACTGCTTTTAAAAAAAGAAAATTATTTACTTATTTGGCAGCATTGGGTCTTAGTTGCCATATGGGAGATCTTTGTTGGATCATGCAGGATCTTTCATTGTGGCTTGTGAATTCTCTAGTTGTGGCACATAGGCTTCTGTAGTTGTGGCATGGGCTTAGTTGCTCTGTAACATGTGGGATTTTCATTCCTGGACCAGGGATTGAACCTGCAGCCCCTACATTGCAAGGTGGATTCTTAACCACTGCACCACCAGGGAAGTCCCTTCATCAGTCTTAAGGTCCAAGAAGGCAGAGACCTTTGCTATCTTACACATGTTAGGCTCTCAACCACTTGTTATGAAATAAAGAAAAGAATGAAGGAAAGGAGGAAACACCAGACCCTGTACTGGAGGTAGAAAGAGATCAGAAATGAATAAGCATCATTCCCCTCCTTGAGAAGGTCCCTGGCTAGTGGGGGGAATAATATGCGTTTCTGTGAGGAAGACTGTCCTAAATGTGTTAATGGGGAGTAAAACATTCACGGGGATACACACTAACAGGAATGTGCCAAGCGGAATCATTCCCAGAAGAGCTGATGTAACAACTTCTTTTTGTGATATAACTTACAAAGCACTCAACTTACGTAAAATATCCAGGCATGCCCTTACTCCGAGAGATGGGCAAACTGCTCCTGGAAGAGTTCAGTGACTTGCCCGAAGCCACCCAGGCAATCATAGTGGCCTGAGTGCGCAGCTCACTCACTTTGGAATTCAGTCCTCATACTTTAGGAGTTGGGTTTTAATGTTGTGAAGGTCTTCCTTTAGATTCCTCTAGATGTGAGACTTTGGACAAGTTACTTTACTTCCTTGAGCCTTGTTTTTCTAATCTGCAAGGTGGGAATAATGACCTTCATAACCTGTATGGTGCTTGGTTTATAGCAGAGGATCCATAGGTGTTTGTTGAATGGAGAATGAAATGCATGTGTTGATGCATGGTCTGAAATGTGAGGAGACTTAAAAGCGTGCCATTTGAGGGGTGGTAGGAGAAACTGAGGGTGATTTTATCCCTTCCGGCTCTCACTTTCTATGATCCTGTGAGACTTAAGCACTGGCCACAACCACATTGTTCTAATTTATTGATTGCAAATCAACAAAAGGGAACCACCTTGGGCTTGGTTAGCTTTCTTTTTACCTGCCTCCTTACTGCTGCTCTTCTGATGACCAAGTAATACATCGTCCTTGTAAAAAACTTAAGTTACAGAAAGATATAATGAGAGAAATTAGAGTGCAGTCAGGTTTAGGCACTCTGGGTATAAGATGCTGACAGATTGTTTTTCCTTGGGAGGTGGGAATTGGGCATAGGACGGGGAGCAAAAAAAAAATTCTTCCTGCGTAAAGGTCTCTCCTCCTGGCCTTGCCATGGTTCCTTGGAGTTCTGTTCAGAGTCCTGCCTCTGACTATAGCATTAAAAAGTTCAGCTGCAGCTAAGGGCTGGGGAGATGGAGAAGGTGAGAATTGTCTGGGCAGGGGCTTTCCTTGGAATGCCAAGAAGAATGAGATGGAACCTGTAGAATTTTCTACAGCTTGTGAAGAGTTGGCCCGGATGTCAATTGCTGGATACACCTTGTAGCTATGTCTTCATCCTTTTCCCTCTCTCTTAGCATTCAGTGGAGTCTCTTTTTGAAAATTCCTGCTATATATACACACACAGGCACAGACACAAAGAAAGCAAAGCAAAATGGAAGGAGAAAAGGTGAAGATTTCTTATTTAGTTTTCTATATTCTCCATTAAAAATTTTCTTTCTTTCTTCTTTGGCTGTGTCAGGTCCCAGCTGTGGTACTACGGATCTTCTTTGCCACACAGAGATTCTCTAGCTGTGGTCCACAGGCTTCAGTAGTTGTGGTACGTGGGCTTCATTGCTACTCAACATGTGAGATTTTAGTTCTCGACCAGGGATTGAACCTGCGTCACCTGCATTGAAGGGCAGATTCTTTGGACCACCAAAGACATCCCCAGTAGCCTCCGTTTTTAGTGCATATACTAAGTATATAATTATAATTATGAGATGCTACTACACCTGATAATTCTGCAATTTTTGTTTGTTTGTTTAACAATATCCGGTAGACACCTTCTCTTGGTTATTCATGAAAATCTCCTCCATTCCTTTTACCAAATGAGCTTCTCATGGTCAGGACTGTTACTTCCAGTCCACTTGCCAGCACATGAGAGGCCGTCCCGGGAGGTCTTGCTGGAATAGTAACAGCACCACCGTATCCTGACATGCACTATATGCCAGGCTCTGGACACAGCTGTTTCACACGTTATGCCATTTGATCCTCACAGTTCCTGTGCCACTCAATGAAATAGGTACTGTTATTATTCACATTTTTCAGACCAGAAACTGAGGTGCAGACCCTTGAAAGCCCAAGGTCACACAACTGGTAAGTGGTGGAATTGAGATTTGAATCCTATCTGTCCTGTGCCAAGGCTTTTGCTTAAATGAATGAATAAGTGGCTGATGGGGTCATGGGTCCTGGAGAGAAAGTTCTATCTTCAGAACCTCCCCTGTATGTCCTGGGTTCTCACTTCCAAGTGTCTGCAATGCTTGGACTCAGCACATAGGAGGGACTCAGTCAAGGCCCATTCTTTGCCGGCAGCAATCCTGTGGCTGTGCCTTCCTTTCATGGGAAGTGGCATTTTTGAATCTCTTATTCTAAAAATAAGCTGCAATTTGTTAGGAGCCCTTGAGGACCAGCCCAGGCAATTCAGAACAGCCATTTGCCTGTCAGCCTCGCAGGAAATTAATCAGAACCCCAAAGCCTTTTCCCTTTTCCCACAGGCCAGCACTCTGGAAACGCCCAGTGCCTTGCTACAGCTCTGCTAGAAGACTGTGGGGGTGTCAAGGGCAGTTTAACACAGATCCATCCCTCTGTAAGGAAAACGAGAAGGCACGAGGGAGAACCGGGTCAGCTCTGCTGCCCAAGATGAGAACTCGAAGGTGTCCCCAACCTGGACGGGTGCTGAGTGACAGAGACACTCCAGCGTATCAGCTGTGACTTTGCAGAATCCACCTGGGGTCTAGAAACTGGAGTTCCTATCCCAATGGCCATGCTGTGCAGGATCCCTCTCAGAGAGTCTCTTTCTCTCTCAGCCCCTTAGAGTCTCCCACTATGAAATGATTGGGTGTATCATCACTAGGATGCTTTCTGGTGTTAGGAACTAGAAACAGTATTGCTGATAATAATAATAATAACAATAATAAATAAGAATGGCAGCTACATCATTTGTGGAGCACCGTGGTTGGTGCTTTCCACACAGTGTCTTCTCTGATTTTAAAACAAACACCACAATGACTGTCTTAATATGCCCATTTGACAGGTGAGGAGAATGAGTTTCAAAGAGAGCTAGTATGGGCCAGAACATGGATATATCATCACAAGGTTTTCTGGCATCAGAACCTGAGCTCCACAAACTTATGTGTGGGTTCTGACCTCAAGGAAGTGAGGAAGTGCTAAGAAACAAAGGGGAGGTCAGTTTGACACAAGTTAAAATGTTTGTGCCCACATGAGAGTTAACACAATGCCATGGGTATTCAGGGAAGGGAGAGTCAGCTTCTGGCTGGGGAAAACTAGGAGGAGTTGTAAACTGAGATGAGACAGTAAGGGCAGAGCATGAGCAATGGGCAGATGTGGGAAAGCAGTGGGTGTGCTAGGGGAAGTTTGGATAAACTCTGCGTGTGTGTGTGTGTGTGTGTGTGTGTAAAGGTAGGAAGAGATCAGACCAGGCCAGACATTTGGCCTTTATTCCATAGGCAATAAGGAGCTTACACAAGTGATGTCTCAAGAGACCAGCTATGCTGCTGCAATCAAGAGGAAGTGGGCCTCCGTGCATCTGTGTCCCGGCTTGTGAATGCAACTCTATGCCAGTATGTGGGAGGGCACCAGCCAGGAGAGCGTCTAGAGATGTGTCCTGTACCATGCTGGGGCTGGGTCTTGGACTCCCTTCAAAGGCCCTCTCCCCACTTCTCTGCGCCCCCAAGGTGCTTTGCACATAGTATAGTTCCACAGGAAAATGTCACACTATTATTGGAGGGCCCTTTGAGACCATCTGGTCATGGCCCCCTCCCATTTTAAAGGCAACAGGAGGGAATGTAGATAGCAAAGGACTTCCCTAGGATCACACAAGGAATTAATAGCGGAGGTGGGGACTGGAACCCACCATGCCTTCTGAGTTCAAGCTGAGTTCCTTTTCTACATTTTGCTGAGTAATAGAAATAGTGTTTGTTGAGAGATTACTCCATACCAGGCCCTGGGCTAAATACCTTTATGTGGATTATCTCATTTAATCCCACAATCCCCTGAGAATGCCCCTCTTGAAAACAGGTCTTGTCTTCCATTTCGATTTGCCACCGCGCCTAACACAGGCTCTGGGCACTCTAGCTAGACCGGCGGTAAAAACTTGGAATAGTTCAAGTCCTAGAGACGGGATAAGGCAAGATGAAGGGGGCGGGACCGTCGATCAGCCCCGCCCATAAGCGAAACCACGCCTTCTAGGACCTTGACGTCACCAGATAGTCCCGCCCCTCATTGTCAGTCCCGGGAGCCGGAGGAGGCGCCGGCTGTGGAGAGCTCAGCGCCGGAGCCCGTGGCGGGCGGGAGTGCGGGCCGGAGCCGCTGAGGTGAGGAGTCCTCGGGGAAGTGGCGGGAGGGCGGCGCGGGAGTCCGGGCGGCCGGGCAGAGAGAGGAGAGCGCTCGGAGGGGGGGTCGGGGCACCCAGGGGTGACCCAGCAGAACCGGCGGGCGCACCCCGGCGAGGGCGGGCGGGCTGAGGTGTGTGGAGTTGAAGTGGGGGGTAGAGTTTGAGCGGCATTTCAGAGAAAAAGCTCCGAAGGGGACATCTCTGGAGCGAGACCTTGAGAATTCTTTTGGAGTTGAGAGATTTTTTTTTTCTTTTTTTTCCTTTGGAGGGTGGGTGGTGGGGGGGGCAGGGAAGGTTCTGAGAGACTTCTTGGTGGGAGAGCGAGAATCTGAGGTAGAAAAAAAAATGTTTGGGGCCAAGAACTGAGGGGAACGTGTTTGAGGGGGCAGAGGAGGAGTTTTGGGGTCGAGTTTGGGAGTTGGGGGGGTGGTGGTGGTGGTGGGGAGACGCGCGGGGCGCGGGGGCCCGATGGGGGGCGGGGAGCGGCTCGGCCGGGCGGGGTGTTGGGGGGGAGTCGGGACCGCCGGGGAGGGGGGCTGCGCGGGGCCCGCGGGCACCCGGGGAGGAAGGAAGTGATCTTACAGGAAGAGCCCGGGAGCTCCCGAGGAGGAGGAGGAGGAAAGGAGGAGGAGGAGGAGGAGAGATTTGGGAGCGCGCGGGCCGGCTTGCGGGCAGGGCTGCGGGGCCCGGCGGCTGGGGCGGGGGCGCGGACCGCGTGAGGGAAGGGCTCCGCCGCAGCCGTCGGTCGGCCCGCGCGCCGGCCCCGCGCGCCCGGGCCCGATGCTGCTCTCGCGGCCAGACCGCTGGGCCGGGAAGGAATTCGAGGCATTCGCTTTGTTTAAGTTGCCAGTAGACAGTCCTCAGGACTAATTAATGGTGGAATCTGCTGGGGGACGCGGGCGAGCGGGGCCGGGGCCGCCCCTAGCCCGCCCGCCCGCCGGCCCGGCCGCCGCGGTGAACTTTCCGCAGTGCGCGCGGCCCGCCTCTCCGCGCACTGCCCCCCCAGCCCCGCGCGGGCGGGGAAGGAGCCATGGCTTCCCGGAGCGCAGGAATGAAGTGCGGTTTCTGGGGCCGGTGGCCTCGGGCGGCGAAGGCTGCTGCAGGAAGCCCGACGTCCCCGGGGCGGCCGGGCTGGGGGTGTTAGGAGCTGGGAGTAGAGAGCTCCCTGGGGTGCCTGCGGTTTCTGTTAATAACCCTGGAGGAGGCTCTGCGAGCCGAGAAAGACCATCTTGCTTTGGAGCATCTGTTTCTTCATCGCGTCAGCCCCTTTCCATACGCTGCAGAGCTTGTTGTGGCTTGTTTCGGAAATGCCGAGACCAGTGCTCACACTTGAAGGGTGGGAGAGGGGAAGAGAATAGGCAGTGCCCCCACCCGCTTCCACAAAAAAAAAAAAAAAAAAAGGAAAAAAAAATCCCTGCAGTGTGATCTCCAGAAAGCCAGAGAGACTGCAGATTCCCCGTCGCACCGCCACTGACTTGAATGACCTTGAATGAAAGGAACTGTGCCTCTAGTGCTTTATCTGTCGATGAAGGAGAAAATACTCTCTGGACCTCCCTGCCTTTTGGGGATATTTCGAGAGGTGGGGTTTGTTCAGGGCATTTTACAGACTGCTGCACTTCTGGCCTAAGGAGTTGGACTGGTGTCAGAGCCGGGGGAATTCAGATCGCCTGTTGAGGTTTTACTACCTAAGACTCGGGAGGGAGGTGTTTGGGTTTTAGGGGCTGTTTCCCTGCGGAGGATCTGAACAGTGTGTTCCAGATGGTTTTCTGTTGCTTCGTGTGCAGCCGTGGTGGCATTCATGTGGTTAAAATGAATAACCTCCATAAAAAAAATTCTTTTCTTGTTAGAAATAGTTATTTTGCTCAGAATTCCCCTTGGGGCAGATGAAGGTTTTGCTCAATTTACTCAGAAGAATTTTCCAGGTTTCTAAAATTAAGTCACTTCTAAACATAGTAACTGAAGTTTGAAGAACTGGGATGGGAAGGAAGTTGATGTGGAGGATGAACAAGGCAGAAAATAGGAATTGTGAATTAACTTTGATTAATAGATATTTTCTTACTCTTAAATAATTGAAGACCAAGAAAGGGAACTAATCATGTCGTGCCCAGTAATTGTACTGGGTGGTATTGGTCTTCACAACAATGCTATGAGATGGTAGTTGGCATCCCTGTTTCACAGATGAGCAAACTGAAGCTGACTTTGCTAAGTGTATGCATATAACTAGTAAGAAGTGGAGCTGGAATTCGAACCCAAGTTTGTTTCTAAGGTCCACTGTGCGTATTGAGTTGGGAGCCAGGAGGCCTAGTTTCTAGGCCTTTGAGTCAGCTATGGTGTCACCATGGATCCTAGAATGAGTCAATTAAGCCTATTCCCTGATAATACTGTCTTCTGGCAATGTTGTCAGTAAGTTTTGAGATAGTTCTTTTTTTTTTTTTGATTGAAAAACAGGGTTTAGGGTTAGGGTTAGGGTGTGGTGGTGATATATGCAGTAGGTGCTTAATTTTTTTCTTGTGATGGAAGCGTTTGTATTAAAATAAAGAACATAGATTTCATTGATGTGATGGAAGATGATGGGATAGCTAATGGTCCTGTAGAGGCCATCATTAAGGTGACATTCATAATAAAAAATGGAGCCATTTTTCGTGGAACATGGCTTTTGAGGACAGTATTAGTTTATGAGTAGAGCATACACATTACATACAGATAGGACCCAGATAGTCAAGCTGAAAGATGTGATATAAACTTTGATGCACAATAGATGCTCAGTAAATATTTGCTGGATGAATGAATGCATGCATTCTCTTGTAAAAAAAAAAAATTAGCTTTATTGAGGTGTAATTTACATACAATAAGATTCACCAGTTTGAAATGTACAGTTTAATGAGCTTTGATAAACACATACAGTTGTGTAATCACCACGACCACCTTGGTTTGTTTAAACAATGTGTTATCTCTTAGCTGTTGGTTAGCAAAGTGATCAGTTGGGAATGCGGTGAAGTTTCTATGTTTAGAATCAATACTGGTGAGCTCAGAGTGAATACTAGTGAGTCAGTGTGCCAGCTCTGTAGGAAACAGCGGGAACTATAGGTGTTTAATGGCGAGGTGCATGAGAAGGGTGAGAGGTGCAGATGGGGACACTTGTCAGATCAGCAGAAAGGTAAATTCATGAGCAACCAGGTTTTCATTACTTTTTAGGACGAGGGTACACTGTGGGGAAAATAAAAATTACCTGAAAATTTGTTAAAAACTTGAACTTTGATTTTTGTATCTTTTTTGAAATGGTAGCTCTTGAAATATGAAACTTAACATCTTTGGCTATACTTAAGGAGTACTTTACACATTATGGTTGTTCAAATAATTCTGAAGGGTGGGGATGTCATAAAATGATTAAAGGCCTTGCCCTTCCACCTGTGATAGAATATTCTTAGTGTTAATCTCTAACTTGTTTTAGCTGATATTCCACAAAGGGAATACATTAGGTAGGAATTCCATCTTGCTGGGGAAACATATATTGTCTTTTCCTTCTCTTAATTTCTCATCACTGCACCTGTCCCAATCTGCTTTAGCATAAGTCTCTGTCTTAGAAAATGCTTGAAACCGCTTTATTCGAACTGCTAGAAGCCACTTGTTTATCTTTGACCCCTCGTATCCCTCCCCCCCATGAATGAATGCATGCATTCTCTTGTAAAAAAAGAGATCATATTCCCCCCCCCCCGCCCCCGCATGGCATGCAGGATGTTAGTTCCCCAACCAGGGATTGAATCTGTGTCCCCTGCAGTGGAATTGCAGAGTCTTAACCACTGGACTGCCAGGGAAGTTCCTCTCTTGTTTTTCCTTATATATGCTGTTGCTGTATGTTGACTCTTATATAATCCTCTTCTCCCACCTGTGAATCTTGAGAATGGAAACCCGTTCGACCCTCCATATACCATTGTGGCTGCTGCTTAGTCACTCAGCCATACACCATTAGGAAATTATAAATTAAAATACCAGTCTACCAACTCAACATTTTAGGTGGTGATAGAAAATAATAACTCTGAGGTAGTCATTATCCTCTTTGTACATGAGGGAGCTGAGCTCAGAGCAGTTACTGCCAGAGCTGGTGAGGGGCAGACTTGATTTCAGCTCAGATTTGACTGATGCTCAAGTTTAGAATCTGTTATATCACACTGTTGTTTCGGAGTTGGGACAGCAAGGGAAGTGCTTGAAAATACCATATAAAAATATAAGTTAAAAGATAACAAGCATTGCTAAACTTTTTGGCATTGCTTCTTTTGTCTATTCCTTTTTTAATTTCTAGAGGTACCTCCTTACATTCTAAGGACTTTATAGCCTATCTTCTATTGCATAACTCCCTTTCTAGACCTGACTTTTATTCTTTATAAACATGGTACTTTGTATTCACTGGCTGCTTGACTTACCCTTTCCCCTATATTATATGTATCTGAAAACTTCTATCAGGTTAATCTGTCAATCAAGTTCTTCCATATTTGCATGTGCTCCTCTGTTGCCATTTTATCTGGACAGAGTAATATTTTTAAAACATGTTACTAAAAACTTGAAATATTATTAAACATTAAAAAATTGAAACATTATTACAAGTTTTAATTGGAGTATGTAGTATTTATATGTAGGAAAGTACATTTACCAGTACAACTTGATTTTTTCACAAACTGAATATACTCATGTAACCAGCTCCCAGATCAAGAAACAATATTACCAGGACCTAGAAGAAGCCCCTCTTGAGTTCCCTTCAGGTTCTTGCTGCCCTTCCACCCACCCAGCATAATCACCATCCTGACTTTTAGATCAGTTTTGTACTTTTTTAAAAATGGAATCATATAGCATATACCCTTTAGGGTCTACCTCCTCTTATTAAGCAGTATGTGACTATGTAGAAACTTTTATTTATTTATTTGGCTGTTCTGGGTCTTCATTGTGCTCAAGGGCTTTCTGTAGTTGGGGTGAGCGGGGGTTAC